AAAAGAAATTGAAGGACTCTTTGAGTAACTTACCACCCAAGAAAAACTGCCACGATGAATTTCCTCTCGATGTTTTTTTTTTTTTTTTANGATGGAACAATTAAAAACCAACGCGATGAAATTCTCTCGATGGAAAAAACTTAAAAAGAAAAGAAATTGAAGGACTCTTTGAGTAACTTACCACCCAAGAAAAACTGCCACGATGAATTTCCTCTCGATGTTTTTTTTTTTTTTTTAAAGTTGAAGGACTCTAAGTAACTTACCACCGCGATGAATTTTCTCTTGATGGAATAAATTAAAAAAAAAAAAGTCGAAGGACTCTGAATAACTTACACCCAATAAACACTGCCACGATGAATATTCTCTTGAGATGGAATAAACTGAAAACCAAAAAAAATTGAGGTACTTTGTGAGAAACTACAACATCGGGAAAAACTGCCCCGAAGACTTTTCCTTCGATGGACCATGCATGAGATACGGAAATATCAAGACGCGAGGCTCGAGCCATACCAATCTCGATGCAGCGACGACAGCTACCCACGTGCACCACTCCCATCACGCTAATTTAATTATCCATCCAATCCCCCGGCCACAAAAACATGACTTGTCAACTTCTCGTTTAACGTGTACCAGTGGAAAGGTTTATGAAACACGGATTCATTCGTAGCTCACAGCCGGCCCACGCCAACACCTCCCGCAAATAGTGGAGGTTTCATGACAAGATGGATGCACCGATGCTATTCGAGATGCACTCTCCATGGGCACCTGCCATATACCATCAACACGGCCATGGCCCCGCCCCTCGCACGCAAAACATTAAAACATGTCGTTGAGGTATGCTTCAAGATCATCATCCTGGACGTAAACGTCTGCCGCCGGGGTCTCCGGCACAACGAGGCTGTCCTTCTCGACGTAGTAGGGGGCGAGGAAGCGCATGATCTCCGGCTTGTGGAAGTCGGAGCTGGGGATGGTAAGGATCGCCGCCGTGCAGCGTCGCGGTCCAGTCATGAACTG